CTCCTCATAGCACCAACATTAAAGAAGAAGAAAAGACTTTCGATATCAATAATGAGCCTGAAGATATAGCCGGACCTTCCGCAAAGAGCCACGATCAAAGGGAATCGAAGTCAATAAAGAAGAAGAAAAAGCGTAAACCTTGGAGAGAGGAACGCGTGAAATCAACGCCGGCAAAGAAGCAGCACGAAAAGTCCAGATCCGCAACACCATCGGTCGAGAAAGCCGACGACAGCTATGTGCTCGGATGTCTTTTAAAATCGGCCGGTGTCCGTTGTGCTATGAACCATGATGACCTGATCAGTGACGAGCCTTCTGGTTACCTCGTGGAGAAAGAAGCTGACGCTGTCGCAACTCGAGCCGCCAAATCCATCCGTAGACGGTATGTATGATTTCTTCTTTTCGTGGATATGGAGGTTCGATTATGGGATGTTGATAAATTTAGTTGTGCTTACAAAGCTGAGTGAATGTTAAAGTCTCATTTGGAAAGGATATCTCACGTAAAGGGACAGGATTAATTTCAAAAGCATAGAGTACACTGGAGGGTGGAGCGGTTTTGATGACGTCAGTGCACGTTATTGGTGGAAGAAGCCTCAACGCGCTGGGGTGAAGGTGAGACCGGCTCCCAGCGCCCTCGGGGTGGTATGGAACAGTGAGCGGGTCGATGAGATTTTCTGTCTGGGATAATGTCTGCTCATAGCTCAGCATTTTTGGCGTAAATCTCATGTCCATAGTGCAGGTTCTTCATGAAAACAGCGCAAGGTTCCCCTATGAAGGGTGTTGTCCAGCAATTATCCCTAAATGCTGGGGTCTTCAACTCCTTTGGCAGTCTTTTGTTCTTTTTGCATTCTCTTCTCATATGAAAATATATGTTAACGTCTTATAAATAGTGACATCAAAAAATCAGTTATTCGTCTGAACTTTTCAGGACAAATATATCATTCGTGCAAAAGTTTCGCTCCAAATTCCAACACCACCGGTGGAAGGAGATTTGTCCATGAAATTACATCAGAAAAACTATTTCCAAGGCGAAACTTCCTCCGACTCGGTGCTCGCTGCAATTCATGGTAGGAAACAAAAGAGGGATCCAGGAGTATCATCGGTAAGAGACATTTTAACCTCGTTATTTCGATTTTGGCTGGTTCTGTGGATTACTGTATATAAAGAACGCAATTTGTAAGTGCTTCAATTATACCGTCATCCGTGATACTTCAAATAATTTTTTTTAAATTTAGGAAGTGCTGCTCAGAGACAAAAATGTTGTTTGTACTCAGAAAATCCGGGATTATGTTGTAAAGAGTGGTGGGAAAGTGTTCAGTGACGTAATTTGCCGGAAATTCAAGGAGTGTCATCGCCTGACCTCACCTGTTTCAGTCCAGCATTGTTCTTTAGTGTTCAAAGATTGAAGATGTTCCTTGCATTTACTAATTATTTGTAAAGCCTGCATAAGGCAGCTCGTTAAAGTCGCACTAGCGAGGAAAAACGCTATATTTTTCGGTTGACGAATTCATTCTATTAGTCGTTTCGTTTCTTTACATTATCAGTCTATAGAATACAGGCTGAAAAATACTCCAGCGCCTACCCAGGCTCCCGAGCTAACGTTATTCCATTTTTTTTCTCTTTCTTTCATGGGAATACCGAGTATGGTACTCGTGGCAAGCCACCTGCACCAGCTGACCGTAGAGGTTTTCTCGGTACCTCTAACCAATACATACAAGACAACCTAACTTACACTCGCCTGGGGCCCACAATAGTGTATCGTACAGTGAGTATCACCCAAAAATACTACTAGTCTGAACGGAAGCTTGTATTGCGTGGCACACCACAAAAAGAGTTTCACCAAATGTTTGTTTGGTTGTTGCCAAATGCCGTTTGTTCGGTCTTTGCTCTTTCTTCCGTATATTTGGGGGAGCAAGCTGGCAGCGTCGTTGAAGGCCTAACGTCAAAATGTTCACGGCCCCTTTCTCAAGGATTACGACCGCAGCTCGACCCCACGGCTCCATAATGCCATCACCCTTGCAGAGGTTTTTACACCGGCGGCTTCCTCATACAATATCCATTTGGTAGCGATTAAAAGTAAATTGAATAGAAATGTAAATTATTACCTAATCAAATGTCGAGTTTACTGTGGGTATTGTGAGCTTGCTAAATAACTGAATTTCAGAAGAAATGTAAGGAAGATTGGGTACAGTTCCGTGCAATATTAACAAAACTTTGCCATTACGATAGGCTAAAAATGGAATGGCATCTCAAGGACGAATACTGGTGATATGCTTTATTTGGTTTTGTTGGTGATGGTTCTTGTATTGTACAGTTGATTTTGAAGCATCATTTATCTGTAGAGTAGGTTATTCCAGAAGATACGTATACGTGTAAATAAAGGTCATATTTATTTCGTGTTTTGGTTTCGAAAGTAACTCAATTTTTTTTGAAATAGGTAGTTCCTTTGCAAAATTCAGGTATGTGTCATGGTGAATCAGCCTAGCTTAGCTTTGATAGTCCTTAAATATCTCAGTTGATGAATATTTGGGAGACCGGAGCTGAAAACTGTAGCGGTTTAAATTTGACTCGCTAAAAAAACTGTCCCTGCAAGTCTTTTCAATGCAGCGATAGCCTATTCATTTCGAAACTTCAGTATTGATTGTTCTCAAACCGCAGATCAGTGATTTGATTCCAAGGTGGCCTGAACTCAAACACGTTGCATACATTCAGTTAAATGGAGCTTTTGGTGAAGGTTGCAGTGTGTTTCCAAAAAAAAAAGCCCATAGATCGGGGAAAAGTCGGCTTGGCGGCCGGGCCAAATGTAGCCAGCAAGAGGCCCGTCGCTCAGCGAGAAAGCGGAGACGTAGACGAGTCAGCGGATGAGGCGCAGCGCGTACTGTAGAGATTTTGCGTGAAGTTAGTTAAGCAGTGAATGGGAAGTACCATAGGATCGGCCACATCACTCAACACGTGCTGCGACTCGTCCGTTGACTTCTCCGTGTTTGCCTTCTGGCGCGCCAACCGTCGGGTACCCCCCCCCTCGCGAGCCAAGTGGGTATGGGAATGTAGAGGGCGCCACCGTGAGAAGAATCCCTCATAATTTCGTTCAGAGAATCGTTCGGCAAAAACCGAAAACG